ACATACCTTAATAGGGATCACCCCCGACGATTTCCACGACGATCTTTGACGGAAGCTCCTTGATTCCCTCTTCTTCTTCTCTTCTTTCTCTCTTCCCCTCTTCTTCACTCAAGAACCCTAACTCTTACTCTTTTAAAATGGAACTAAAATGATCCACAAGAAGCCTAACTCATTAATATAACCCCAAAAGAATTGATTTGTGAAAAGACCAAAATGCCCTTAATTTTCCGGACAGATTTCCCTTCCAACTGTCCAACTTCTAAAGGGCATAACTCGCTCATACGAACTTGGAATTGAGCAAACTCGGTGGTGTTGGAAAGATCGTTCCACAAGCTTCACAACCATAACTGGAAATACTCCTAAATCATCCTGAGCTGGAAGTTATGACTGCCCAAAGTTGGCCAAAAAACTCACCTTTTCCATACTTAGCCAAAATTTTCCAGATTTTCAAATCCTTTCCAAAAAATTGAAAATTTCCAAATTTCAAGTCTCTTCTTAGCTATTTCAAATTGTCGGATGTTACAACCTAAGTTAGGGATATTATGGTAATATAACATCAAGTTTGGAGTTCATGCTTTTAAGGTAATATAGATATATGAAATATGAATTCTGATATAACATACATCTTCAACGAGTCCAAAGCCTAAAGGGTAAAGAAAATTGACAAAAATTCCAAAAGGGCACATCAAATTTTGTTTTAACGAAAGGGGCAAAATAGCTGGTGGAGTAGAGATTTTGTTTTAACGCTGTTACTCCGTTAAACAATCAAAATCGCTGACCTACTAGCGATTTTGTCCAAATTTTTTTCCAATTTTTAAAAGAACATCGTTGCCCGTGCAGCATTTTTGGGGATTTTTTTTTTTAAAAAAAAATCGCTGCTATAACAGTGTTTTTTTAAAAAAAATATTTTTAAAATTAAAATTATATTGAAAATTGCTCCACAAGTAGCCGATTTTAGTAAAAAGTTTTTTTTTTTAAATCGCTGCCTTGGCAGCGATTTTAGTGATTTTTTTTTAAAAAAAATGGCTGCCAGCTTTTGGTGGAAGAAATTTTTTTTCCTTAAAAAAGGCAGCGATTTTGGTGAAAGAATTTTTTAATTTTTTTTAAATCGTATTAAATTTTCTTTGTTTTTAAATCATTGATAAGCAGCGAAATTCCCTTCCAATTTTCTTTTTTTAATTGTTCAAACATTCACATGTTACTGACAAGCAGCGATTTAAAAAAAATAATTAAAAATTCACCAAATAAAAAAAAACCACTAAAATCGTTGCCAATGCAGCGATTTAAAAATAAAAAAAATTTCTTTACTAAAATCGCTACCTGTGGAGCAATTTTCAATATTTTTTTTTGACAGAAATGGCCTTGGTGGGTGGGGTGGTAGTGGTAGGGGTGGCATAAAAAAAAAAAAAAATTAAATTTGAAATATTTTCTAAAAACATTTTTTTTTATATAAAAAAATGGCGGGAGGTGGCCTGGGGGGTAGGGATAGGGGTGGCGTAAAAAATGATTTTTTAAATAAATTTGATGGGGGTAGCGAGGGAGTGGGGGTGCTGGGTGCCTGGTGGAATGGCATAAAATTTTTAAAAAATATTAAATTTGAATTTTTCAAAAGCAATTCTTTTTGGTAGGGGTAGGGGTGGGTCGGGGATGTCTGAAGTAAAAAAATCTTAAAATTTGAAACATTTTAAAAAAATAATAACACTGCCATAGCAGCGATTTTATTATTTTTTTTTAAAAAATTCCCCAAAAACGTTGCACGGGCAGCGATGTTCTTTTTAAAAAGTGGGCCTACACCCTGGGCGGGACGGACACTCGAAGACCATTGCTGGCCCCAAGAGAACCCTTGGCCTGACTTTCTTAGCTCAGTGGAAGACAATATTCATATCTATAATGATCAAAGAACTTAACTGAACTGAATAATGAAATAACTGAGAATGTTTTAAAGGTTAAACATTCAACTTGGCCAAAAGTGGCAACCCAAGTCTTAACAATAATAAATGAAAATGAAAAGACTCACAGGACTAATATATGACTATGCATGAAGCCTCTAAAACAACTGAGATGGATGTTGGGACAAACCCCACAACATCCTAATAAACTAACTAGAAAGCAATGAAAATAGATCCTCCAGAATGCAAGGAGGCTCACCGACTGACTCTGAACTACTCACTGGATCAACGGTGTGTTAGGATGCCGATCCTAGTTACCTGTGTCTGCATCATAAGACGATGCAGGCCAACTGACATCAATACATTAAATGTACGAGCATGCTAGTTGGAATGCTAAAACAACATAGGCTGAAAAGAGAATCTGAAAGAAACACTTACCTGGCTCTTCTTAACTCATGAATACATAACTGAACTCATTTCAATATAAAGCAGTTTAAAACAAGTGCAATATAAAGAAAAGTTGTTTAAAAACATGATGTTAACTCTGTGTATATACAAGGATACAACATAACTCTGAAATGTATGTAAAAATACAATAAACTGATGTATATAAAAATACAATAACTTCTGTGGGAGTTTCTCTAACCGACAACCGTCACATAAGAGCTATAGTAATGATACAACGATCTACTTCACGTTGCGAGCGCATGCTACACCTGGCCAAAGGTATAGGACCTGAACTACTAAATGGATCCACTAGTCTATTGTGAAAAAGGTTCATCTAAAAAGTATGACCCTTTTCTACCCATGGTGGCTACATGGTTTTATGGAGACGTGAGTTACTTGAACTCATGCTCGCCCCCAACTCGGTGCTCAATACTACTCCCAATATACTAGCTCTTATGTTTTAAAAACATACTTCCTCTGTGATTTGAGATTAGTGCTCAAAAACTTAGCTCAAAGGCTATCTTGGAAATCAAAGTTTCCCCTCTTGCTTTATTTAGAAAGCAATTACTTTTTCTGAAAACTAGCCCGAAGGCTCTTTGGAAATCTCAGTTTCCGTTCTTATTTAAATGTGAAAACATTTTAAATCTCTTTGGGAATACTTTGTCCCCATATACTTTTGAAGAAATGAACTTCAACTTTACTCTTTACGAAACTCAAAACTTATGTCTTAAAACAAAGTTAAAATGTTCGCAAAAGACTTTTGTAAAACTCTTAAGAACTTCTCTTGACTTGATTTTTACTTCTCTTAACTTTGATCTTAACTTTCCTTGAATTGGATTATGGATTCAAGGTTCACGATCTCATGTTTATGGATGATTTCATGATGTTTAGATGTACCTTAGAGTGTTAGAATCAACTAGGAAACATAGGTACATCACTTAGAAACTAGTACGAAAAGATGGGGGGAAAATGGGGTGAATTGCGTCCTTGGTGCTCTGAGAGGCGTGGGGCTCCAAGCCCCAAATTTCAAAGGATAAGTTGGGGCGCGCTGGCTGGTGTGATGCCCCAAGGGATAAATTTCAAAGATTTTGTTGGGGCGCACTGGCTGGCGTGACGCCCCACCCTTTTCCCTAGAAAATTCCAACTTTTCTCCTTTGTTTTTCGTCTCTAAATCCTCTAAACTTCCATAGTTCTTTCCCCAAACACTTAGGATCATTAGTACCCTCAATACCCAATAGATATAACTCGAAAAACAACCCGGAAATACGAATCAAATCAACACTAGGCATTCAACAATCAACCAACAAGAATTCAACAATGTTCTTCAAGAACTTCACTTTCTTAACATTCAAACAACTCCAATTTTGCTGAATTGAAACAAGTTTGGCGTGTCGGTGAACTAACCCAACACTATGTGATCTCACATACCTTGTAGGGATCATCCCCGACGAAATCCACACGCAAAGCTCGAATGTTTCTTGGCGATTCTTGATTTCTCTTCTCTTTTCTCCTCCTTTCTCTTATCTCCAAGCCCTAGCGTGAACTCTAACTTTTCCAAATTGACTCAAAAATCTTGTTTTACCCCAATTAACTCCTAAAAACGAATTAGAATAATTAGGTAAGGAAAAGACTAATTTACCCTTCCAAAACCCGGATTGGACATTTCCTTAATCCAACATCCCAACTTCCAAATGGCACAACTCCCTCACCCGAACTCGGAATCGAGCAAACTTGGCGGCGTTGGAAAGATCATTCCAAGATATTTCCAACCATATCTGGAAATACACCTAAATCATCCTGATCTAGGAGTTATGGTCGTTTGAAGTTGACCAAAAACTCACTTTAACTTACTTGAAACTTTCTAGATTTCCTTATACTTTCCAAAAATGACTATTTACAGATTTTAAACTTCTTTCTAATTCTTTCTAGTTGCGAGATGTTACATGGAATTTTTTGTTGGACAAAATCTTTGGTAGGTCCGCGATTTTGATTGTTTAACATAGTAACGGCGTTAAAACAAAATGGCTACCCCATTAGCGATTTTGCCCCTTTGGTTAAAAATAATAATTGATGTACCCTTTTGGAATTTTTGTCAAATTTTTTTGCCCTTTAGGCTCCGGACTCCATCTTCAACCATCTCTTTATTATTTTTTGTTGTAATCTAATTATTTATTTGTTTAATATATTTTTATTAGTATAGACATTGTTAATCAATATTTTTATTTTTACAAAGAAAAAGAAACATAAATTAAGTGGGAAAAAAACAGAAGATAAATAATTAATTAAAGAGATGGACAGACGGGGTAAAATTTTGTACTTTATGGATATATTTTGTTAAATTGTTCCATAGGAACAAATTTGGATACATACCGTGTGGACAATTTATTTAGTTTTCTCTTTTATTTGTATTCTATAGAAAAAGGGATATTAAATCAAATATACAAGGGCAAATTATAACTACTATACTGGAATTTGTTGATATCCGTGCACTCATGCTCAAACCAAGGCTGCATTTTTTTTATACTCTAGAAGCATCTACATTTTTCTCCACTCTTCCAATGAAAATAAATAAATATCTCATTTGCATCAGTTTTCTTAGATTTTCAAGACTAAAGGGTTAAGACATTTAGTGTTTCCAGGTATGTTTTATTCGCATTTTTTGCTTTAAATCTCTTTCGATTAACTTTTTCAATTTTCAATTTTTGAGTGACCATTCTTTTTTCTTGCTCTTAATCAGTCCTTTTCAAATATTCAAAGATGGTTTCTGTTCACTTTCTTAATTGGATATTACAACCCTAGGTCGTTTTCTTTTTTCTTGCTCTTATTAATCAATCCTCTGTTTACTTTCTTAATTGGATATTACAACCCTAGGTCATTCCAAAAATATGAACTGATAAAAAATTAAGAACTCTGTGTTTTCTTCTATCTTCTATTTTGTTAAAATTATCTCTCTCTTAGATTTAGGATAATTCAGATTTCTATGTTCTCTTGTGCTCGTGTTTAATGGTATAACAGAGCCTTCATCTTTAGTATTGAGACACTCATATAGCTAAAGCATCACAACAAATGCAGTCGCTTTCTTATGAAATATTCTTGCCAAAGAAGAATACCTAACAACCAACATAAATGATATAGTAAAAATATGGCTTTAAGTTATAGTAGAAATTAAATTTTCAAGAAAATAGATGTGAGTTCCAATAAATCCTTTTATCTTACCAGTATACTAATAGTAATTCTTAAACTTTGAGTAAATAGGAATATAACGTGAATATCCCTAGAGTGCAGGTGTTTCATGGTTGATTTCTCTTACACTTGGATTATTTGTATGCTTAATTGGTAGTATTTGTACTGGATGGCTGGTGGAGCACTATTTGTTAATAGAAATAAAGCTTTTCGACCTCTTCTGTATTATGTGTTTTCTGTCTTTCTCTCCAGAAATTTGTGTCTTCTGGTGCTTTTATCGTTAAGCTTTTTCTATATGGTCAAATCAAATGTTTATTAGACACTAAAATATCAATGTTCATCAAGAAGTTGTACATGTAATTTTTGCTCTTCAAGAGCTGGGAGGCTTAGATTCATACTTCTATAATTACTATTATATATTAATTAATTAATTAGTGAAGGGATCATACTATGTTGAAACCTAATCTTGCCATATATTAACCGTATTTGGGTTCTAAGCATTCTCGAGTTTATCATTAGTCATCTTACTGACCAAGGACGACCAATGGCAGATTTGTAATTATACTCAGCATAAAGGGTAAATGATAAATATCTATGATACAATATCTTACTCCAAACCAAGGGCAAATTCGTCATTAAATTAGTTTTATATCTATTCTTTTATTGCACTTGTCACTCAACATCCCCAAATCATTTTACGCAAAAAAGGAACACTCAACTTTATTCCAGAAGCATCCACACTGCTCTATTTTTCTCTCGAATGAAGTACAATTTTCTTTGCACTGATGATTGTACCAATTTGCGGTTAGTATATCTCCCAATTTTTACCTAAGCTATCTCTTGATTCTCTTCAAATTTCAATTTGGTAGCTGAATTCATAGGTGTTTTTTTATATTTAACATATTTCCTTGCCATGATCTTTGTTTTTTCCAAACTTTTGAAAACTATACTTTCCTTTCTTTCATCTTCTCAATCGGGTGATCCAACTCATGCATGTTTTTATCTCAATTTTCTGTCAATTCTCTTCATGCTTTCAAAGTTTATGAATATGAAATTCCTAGATTATATTGTTAATTATTATTTCGTCTAATCCTTTCTCTCCAATATTCTTCAACCTTCATCCCTTCCCTTTAGTTTCTGTGTTGCGTTATTTATTACTTTTGTATGATCTTTATTTTTATTTCGAATTTCAATGTTAATTTGGTTGTGTTGTATCAATGTTGATATTGAAAAGTTAAATGGGTGTTTATTTCCTTGTTCTTTTTCTGATACTTTTTTGTTTTTTTACTACTTTATTTCATCTTCTCTTTTCCAGACAGTTCATCTTGCCATTGTTTCAAGTTTGTTTAGTTTTTTGGTTCTTTCAGTTTCAGGTAAGTTATCAGTCTCTCCTTCACATTACTCCAATTCTATATGGAAGTTCATGAGGCATTACTATTATTGTTATAATATAACTTTAGGGATACTCATCATACAATCTATTGTCTGCTTCTGCCTAGCCTTAGCTTCCTCATCATTTCTCATAAGATTCGATGCCTCATTAGCATTTGCAATTTATTAACAGAAGATTCAGCCCATAAATGCCTCTTAAATAAACCTTAAGTGACTTTCACATGAAAATCAGTAGGAAGTCGAACAAAATTAAAAAAAATTGCACCATTTCACATGTTTATCATTAACTCTTATCAGTCTCAAAATAAATGCACCAATGTTGCAACTGAGAGTAATAAGCAACGAACAATCACATTATAGTTATAATACCTCACAAAATTTAAATTTGAAATAGAATCACTAGGAACAATCTCTTTGATTTTTTAAGAATAAACCTTCAATCAATACATCAGTAGTCTTTTTATCTTCATTTCTATCCTTCTCTTCTCATTCATTCTTCTTAACTCTATGCTCACTGTTGACACCCAATTTTGGACCTCCACAATATATATTAATCATCGAGCTTCTTAAATTCCAAATGATTTGAAATAATCAACTTTATAAAAATCAAAATATTTTTCAAATTATTTTAAATAGTTTTGTCACTTTTTACGATTTTTAAATAATATATATGTTTTAGATAATTATGCATATAATTAGTATATTTTATAAATGTTCGAGAATTGTCTCAAAAAGATTTTAATTTTACTTAATTAGTTGGTCAAGTGGTGTAGTAATTAATACTTATATTTTTGAGTTATTGGTTTATGATTAAGTTAATGATTTTTATTTGTTAAAATTAAGAAGCTCGTTAATTAATTAATATCTAATTCATCTTATTCAGGATTTAGCCGAATTTGTTAATTTAACTCAATTTAGCTATTTCTTAAATTTAGCTATTTCTTAAACTCCAGGATATAACTCATCTTGGACCTCCCCTTCTTGGACCCTTTTTAGACCAACTTTGGGACAATCCAGCAGCCCATTGATACCTCAATTCCCAGCCAGCCCACTTTCAATTGTTCACAAAAGAAGCCCACTAATACAACATACCAAAGACCCATCAGATACAAGATACAGCAAACCAGAAACGACCCCACCCCTATACTCCTCATTCTTCGTCTCCTTCAACCCAACGAAACCCAGAAAACAATCAGAAATACGCAGCCCATTGCGAGCAGCCCAGAAGTGCTGCGAAACCGAATCCAGCGACCCGAGTCCAGCAGCGACGAGTCCATCTCGTATGAGGACCGTTGTCGAATTTTCCAGGTGTTGCCATCTTAATGTCTCGCTTGTCCTTGTTCAAGATCGGACGACTCTCTTTTCAATTCCGTTGGAGATTTGTACCAATTTCAGCTCCAACCTTATCCTCTAGGAAGGAATTCGAATTTCGAATCCACGCTTTTCCCCCCAAAACCGAACCCTATTCTTCCTCTATTTAAACTCCATCTTCATTCATTATTTAGGGGGTGGGGAAAAAAGTCAGGGAAGGGTTTTCTTTATTTTTGGATTTTGAGAGGTTTTAGGCTTGGTTCTTTGACAATACTCATTTTATATTCAAGAAATTTGAAAACGATTTTCTAATTCTAAGTTTTGAGAAAGGTTTTGTCTGAAGTTACTTTGAAATTCTTGGTTTGCTGCTCGGGTCGAAGTTGTGCGAGAAGTCGCTCTCTTTCAAGTTCGTGTCGTCCAGTCACTGCTCCGAAAGAGGTGATATTTTGTTTCTTTTGTCTTGTTCTTTGTCTAATATGATGCTTTGGTTCATATATGGTATTAATATTATAGTTTGTTCAGTTTGTTTTTTTTTATTTCATCTTAAATTGAATCAGTTTGCATTGTATTTTTGGAATTACTAGTTGACTTTGAATTATAAAATCAACGTTGCCAATTTAATTTGTCTTTGTTAGTTTAAGTAGTGACTAAATCGAGAAGCTCTTATTTTTTGGCCCTATGCTTGTCCTACTATTCTTGAAAAGGAAGTATTGAATATTAGCCTAACCTCATGTATTTGATCTCTGCTCCCGACTTTGGACTACAATATTTCCCTTTGAGTTTGGAGCCTTTACATTAAATTTCTCTACTCATCATATATCCGGTTTAAGTCCTTAATTTGTTGAATGAATAATCGAATACCAATTAAAATCTTTTGTTGGTTTAGCATGAGTCCTGCAAATGACTAAAATTGCATAAGGTGTTCATCCCCTTCTTATTTTGTTTCTTACATTGTCCTCTTGCTTAAATGGGGTAAAATATATATTTTCCATAATGCTCATATTATTATCTTGGAATCATCGGGATGGAAGCTATGTATTTTTAGGTTAGAATAATACATTCCAAATATATCTCGATAGCGTGAACACAGCCACAACTATAATTCCTTCTCTTCTTTGATAGTTTAGGATCTATAATACATTGTTTTCTTGTAATATATCAATTGTGGCCTATAAATTTTGTATTGTGTCTTCTAATGGCTTTTCTGGGACATTTAAGAGGACCAAATATGTTCCATATTACTTAGGAGGGGGCTGCCAGCCTTTAATTTGCTCCATATGTTTAATATATGGCTTTCTATAGTTTGCCATTTTAGTGTTTAAGTAGATATAGTCTTATCATCTTCATCTTTAATGCTTTGACGTTCTCTACTTAAGTTCTCAGGTAGACATATATGCGATAAAATGGAGTGTTTATTGAATTAGCTCGACCTCTCTGTTTTAGTGTGATGTCGTTTAAAGGTCTCAAATTGTAAACTTATTATTTGTTTGTTTCATTCACTTTGATTTAAGTATAAGTTTGGTCCCTGCTCATTTAGGTTGTTACTCGTTAGTTCTTTATGATCATCAAGCTTGTAATGTTGTTGGAATTTGTAAATTAGGATGTTTTCTATCCCACCTATAATAATGTGTGCTATAGATAACTAAGGTTTTGCTGGTTATTTTCACAAACACACAAGATTCTGATGCCTCTGTTCTGGTCGATGTCATACTTACATTTAGTTAGCGATGTTTACTGACTTGTTTGATGCCAGATAATCGATCTTGTCCCTTACTTGAGTTTTGTTGCCTTCAATTAAAGTATTTCAGAGTCTGAATTTGTTTTAAGTTTCAGACAAATTTGATAAGATTTGGTAATGAATAACTTCTCACTCCTTTCCCTTCCCATTTATCGTGTGAATATTGACATTTTAATTTAAAGGTAATATAGTTGTTGCATCTGTGACTTTTTTATTTATTTATTATTTTTTCTTACTTTCAATGAAATGATCGTAGCTACTACCATCTAATTAACTCTTATCTTTCATATGAAAAGGTGAGAAGTTTATATGTGATAATGTTCTCTTCTTCTATGTCTCACTTTATGCCATTTCTTTTAAAAATCGATGTCCATTTAGTTGAATATTCCTTTCAGATTAGTATCCAATTTGTTGAAAGTGTTAATTTAATCATGTCAAGGATAGGTGGTATTAAAATGATTTTTAAGAGTCTAGTGCCTTTTATTCCTCTTTCATTTTTTTTTTACTTTTTTTAATAAATTATCTTACCTCTCGTTGTGGAGATTCCAAATGTGGACTTGCATATATTTATTAGCTTAGGTGCTTTATCATGATTTGGATTAATTCTTATATGTGTGTTTTATGATGCATGTGAAAATCGATGGGTCCAATATGGACTCCATTCCTGCATATCTTCGAGTTGGTTCATTTCTGAGTCAACTCCATCATGATTCAAGTGAAGTGGAAGCAAATATCCGGGTCTTGAAAGTTGAAACACGGGTTCAAGGAATTCAGAAATGCATAAACAACATCCCACTTTTGGACCACAGTGAATTTAGGCCAAAAGGACCTAAATTCAATCTCTCCCTTACTCTTTAATTATTTAATTGTAATTACTTATTGTTTGTTGTTTAACTCTAACTTTAAAATTATTAATTAACTTAATTAGATTCCCCAAAAGATGAGTTATTTTCTTTGTGTCGGTTTAATTTTAATACATTTCATGTTTTTGTGTTTATTTATTTTATTAATCAAGTATATTGGTCAAAATTTTATATTTTCAATTAAGTTAAAATTTTGGTTCTTAAAAAGAGATGTTCTTTAATACTTTTCATTTAATCACTTTTTTTACTCATTTTAAAATTGTTGTAATTTAAAGTATTTTTTCTCAAATAAACTTTAAAAAATGTTAATCAAAACCTTTTCAATTAATTGAATATATATATATTTATACACACACTTACTTAGTCATTTACTCAAAAGGATTAGTCGAAACTTTTATTCTTCAATTAATTTAAAATGGTTCCATGCTTAAATTAACTAATTTGGTTTAAATTATTATTTTAAAAAGTGTATCAAATCATTTCTAATTAATCTAGCTTTGTTAAAATTCTATCCATTCGCACCTTAATTCAAATGTTTCATTTTAGGTCCATTTCTCTAAAATGAAATAATAGAAAATGTGTCATTTATTTAATTATTTTTCTCGAAGTCAACCAAATATTGTACAGTATTATTCTTAAATCATTTTTCTAAAAATAGTCAAAATATATTTTTGTCAAATCACAGGTCAACCGCATGTTAGCGGACACTTCGAATGCTTAAACCCTTCTCGAAGTATAAATTGAACCCCGAACCTTCTTTGGTATTTTCAAATGATTTTTTCTGTTTTAAATCTTTGAAAATTATAAGTTTTCTTGATTTCTTTAAAAAATTAAGTGGCGACTCTTTTCTAAGTATTTTTCTCAAATTGTTTTATACTTAGAACATTTCAAAAAGTGATTTTTCTAGAAATAGTCAAATTACGGCACAACACTCACTCGCCAGAATCAGATTCTTCAAAAAATACACTACATTTGGAGAATCTGACACGCACCCACTGATTTTTTTGAAGAGTTCGCGCAACATAGGTTGAAAGATACATTGTATGTTACATGAATCATAAAGTGATTTTTCGGGCAATAAAACTTCCAGTTGATACAGTGTTGTCATAGGAAGCTTACAACTTGGTTCTTTTGTTCCAGTACATAAATTGCACATTAATTTTTGTTTGTTATTCTCTACTTATCAATTATTGAGACTTAAATAGAAAAAAATTATATGTTGTTTGTTACTATTTTCATTCCATACTCTCTTCTGCAATACTTTTTAAATCAACCTCATATTTTTAGCATTTTTTACTTTTTTCTCTGTTATACATGCCTATTATATTAGATTTAATATATGATTTGAACTGTTAACTTTACAGAATTATCACTTCGTTGCGGTATTTGTTCGCTCCTGTGTTTCACTTTTCTCTCGGTGTGTGGTAAGTATTACTCAACTAATCTCTTATTTAAAATTATTACTATTATTTGCCAGATAATTATTTTGTGTAAAATTATTTTGATCCCAAAGATGTCAGGTAATATAAACCATAAAAATATGCATGCTTTTGAAAATTCAAATGCGGATAGAAATGCTAGGAGACGCGAATTATACAGATTGATGCCACCTGAGGAAAAAGAAATTCTTCTGGCACGTCGTCACGCAAAGAGAGCTGAAGGGAGAAAACATAACTTATCTGAAAATTCAATGAATAATGATTTGGATACTACATCATCTTCTAATTCCACCATTGTTTCTAATATAAAACATAAAAATGTGCATGCTTTTCAAAAATCAAATGAGGATAGAAATGCTAGGAGACGCGAATTATACAGATTGATGCCATCTAAAGAAAAAGAGATTCTTCTGGCACGTCGTCACGCAAAGAGAGCTGAAGGGAGAAAACATAACTTATCTGAAAATTCAATGAATAATGATTTGGATACTACATCATCTTCTAATTCCACCATTGTTTCTGTTGTACAAAGTTCTAATCTTATTATGAGAGAACCCATGTTGCTCCTATCAGAAATAGGTAGTACTATGCCAATCAGAATTAATTATATCAATTAAAAGAAGTATCAAATTGTCAATTTTGTAAAGCCAAAAATTTGAATATGAACCGCCTGCATTTAGTTGTAGCAATGGTTCTGTTCAATCAACTTCACATGAGATTCCAATAGAATTAAAGAACCTTTATCTGGAAAATATAGAACTATCAAAACATTTTAGAACTTACATTAGAACGTACAATAATATATTTGCTTTCACATCTCTTGGAGTAACTTATGACAAAGAATTAGCAAAAAGAAATAATGGTATTTATACTTTTTGGGTTCAAGGTCAGATGTATCATTTCATTAATGACTTGATTCCTACCGATAAAAAAGAAAAAAATCTTCAGTTATATTTCTTTGATAGTGAAAGTGAATTACGAAATCGAATGGCATGTTCAAATAAATTAAATGAGTATGTTGTGAGAACTTTGATGGAAATATTAAAAATTAATCCATACTCTGTGCTTTTAAAATCTTTAGTAGATGTTCCACAACTATCTGATTTTTATATTGCACTTAAGTGTGATTCTGGCTTAGATCAGCGTATATATAACTTACCAACAGTATCAGAAGTTGCAGGAATATGGGTAGAACAAGATATTACTAATTCTACTCCTACACCACATATTCGAATATATACAAAAAGTGATAAAAGTCAATTGGTAAATTATTATTACGGTTGTTATGATCCATTGCAATATCCATTGCTATTTCCATATGGTCAAGGTGGATGGCACTGTGGTGTTAAGAAAATTAAATGTTCTTCAAGAACATCAACACAAATATATTGCAAACAAGAACAACTACCAAGTATAAAAAATATGTGTTCAATAGATGGACTGCTTAACATGGAAGCCAAAGTTATGCTAAAAGAAAAGCACAAACGAGACGCTATTTCTTGTCGTGAATATTATTGTTACAAACTTCAAATAAGAGATGATGAAAATATAGTCTTGCATGCAGGAAGATTATTCCAACAATATGTAGTAGATGAATGGATAAAAATTGAAAGTCAACGATTAGACTTTGCTTCTTTTAATCAAGATTTAATTAGAACTGATGTGTTAGATGAAATTTTGGATGTTTTACGTAAGGGGGAAAGAGAATCTTCACATATAGGAAAACAACACATACTTCCACTTAGCTTTACTGGAGGTCCAAGAGATATGCGTAGACGGTATATGGATGCTATTGCATTAGTGCAACATTTTGGAAAACCTGATATATTTTTTACTATAACATGTAATCCTTCTTGGCCCGAAATAAAAGAAAAACTTATATCGACTGATGAGGTATAAAATAGGCCTGATCTGGTTAGTAGAGTGTTTGGGGCAAAAATAGAAGAATTGAAAAATGATATAATGAAAAGGCATATATTTGGTAAAGTTGCAGCATTTATGTATACAATAGAATTTCAAAAACGAGGACTTCCCCATGCTCATTTTCTTATTATACTAAATGAGAATTACAAATTACTAACTCCAGAAGCATATGATCGATTTGTATGTGCTGAAATACCAGATGAAAATATATATCCCTATTTATACTCACTTGTTACACAACACATGATGCATGGTCCTTGTGGTAAGTTGAATCCAACAAATTCTTGTATGAAAAAAAAAGGACGTTGTAAAAGTAAGTATCCTAAAGAGTTTGTAGAACAAACAACTAAAGGAAAAAATTCATACCCAATTTATAGAAGACGAAATACAGGAAAAAGTGTGAAAATTAGAGGACACTTTCTTGATAATTCATGGGTTGTTCCTTACCATCCATATTTACTTTGTAAATTCAACTGCCATATAAATGTAGAGATTTGTTCGGATATAAAAGTTGTTAAGTACATTTATAAATACATTTGCAAAGGACATGATAAAATAGCATTTCATATACAGACTAATGATGTAAACCTAGAGATAGATGAAATAAAAGAATATCAATCTGCTAGGTGGGTATCACCACCTGAAGCTGCATGGAGAATATTCGCTTTTCCTATTAGCAAAATGAGTCCAACTGTATATCATCTACAACTACATCTTGATGGACAACAACTTGTTTCCTTCAAAAGTACCGACAACATTAGTAAAATTGCAAGTAATCCCATGATAAGAAAAACAATGTTAACTGGGTTTTTTTTAATGAACAAATCAAACAAAGAAGTTATGGACCTAAATTTATTATATCGTGAATTTCCAGAACATTTTTTATGGTCAACATCAGATAAAATGTGGACACGTCGTAAACGAGGTCATGTTATTGGACGTGTAGTGACATGTCATCCAACCGAGGGAGAAAGATACTAGCTTAGACCTCTTTTAATGAATGTAAGAGGGCCAAAATCATATGAAGATTTGCGAACTGTAAATGGAGTACAATATAATTCATTTAGAGAAGCTGTAGAGAGAACTATTACTTTGTGATAATAATTTGGTAGAATGCATGTCTGAAGCTGCAAGTTATCAAATGCCATCCAGTTTAAGACAATTATTTGCTATGTTATTGATTTATTGTAATCCAACAAATCCTAGAGAATTATGGGAAATATTTGAAAGCCCAATGTCTGAAGATTTCAAAAAAAGTTCTAACATAAATGTAAGAGAAATACGTTATAAAGTATTAAATTGCATTAATGATGTTCTTCATTCAATGGGTCGTGACAGTAATGAATTTGAACTAATTTCAGAATATATCAAACCTTCATCAATAGCAAGAGAAGCTAAAGAAGTTCATTATGAAAGAAATATCATTGTTAGTGAGGAAGATTTATTATTAAAAATAAATTAAACATTGAACAGAGAAAGGCTTACGATATTATTCTTGATAGAGTATTGTCAAATAAATTTGGGGCATTCTTTATTGATGGTCCTGGTGGAACTGGTAAAAGTTTTTTATATCATGCTTTATTTGCTATAGTAAGACACAAGGGGTTTATAGCTTTAGCAACTGCAAGTTCTAGCGTTGCAACTTCACTTCTTCCCGGAGGTCGAACTGCTCATTCTCGATTTTAAATTTCTATTGATGTCAATGAAAATTTTACTTGCAATATTAGTAAACAAAGTTTGCTAGCATCTTTAATACGAGATGCACGATTAATTGTGTGGGACAAAATTTCAATGGCAAAAAAGAAAATGGTTGAAGCATTTGACTTACTTTTAAGAGATCTAATGGAAACTAATACATTATTTGGTGGTAAAATAGTTGTTTTTAGTGGTGATTTCAGACAAACTCTTCCTGTTGTTCGTAGTGGAAAAAAAGAAGATTTTAATCGTGAAAATTTATTGTGTTCTGAAATTTGGAATCAACTGGAAATATTATAGTTATCGAAGAATATGCGTGCAACTAAAGATCCTGAATTTTGTGAATATTTAATGAGAATTGGTGATGAAAAAGAAAAACAAATGACCATGGAAAAATTGAAATTCCTCATTCTCTCATTATTCCTTTTACTTCTGAAAAAGAATCTCTAAATCTTCTCTTTAGAAATACTTATCCTGATTTATACACATGTTGTACAAAAACTTCGTTTATTACTTCTTGTGTTATTGAATCCTTGTGAGGGTTTATGCAATGGGACACGGTTAATATGTAATGATTTTAAACCTCATGTTATTAGTGCAACAATATCTAGCGGTGATTTTAAAAATACACATGTATTTATTCCACGAATACCACTCATGACTTCAGAAGATGAAAAATTGCCTCTTCCTTTTAAGAGAACACAATTTCCTGTACGATTATGTTTTGCCATGACTATAAATAAAGCTCAAGGACAGACATTAGATTTTGTTGGTATATATTTACGCGAACCTGTCTTCTCTCATGGACAATTGTATGTTGCTTTATCAAGAGCAACAAGTTCTCACAATGTTAAAGTATTAATTAGACCACCTATAATTGATGAAAATGATGATCATTCAACATATAATGTTGTCTATAATGAAATTATTGAAAAGGCCTTTTCTTGAACTTTGTGCTTTAATTTGCAATGGTAAATCTCATATATATATTTTATTTTTTTTGTTTATGTATATTATAATATTGCTTTCATTATACATTTACCTTTAGCTTATCCTCTTATAATGTATTTTAATTGCAGATATTTCAACATGGCGGAAAGATATACCATCAATATGATCACTCCAACTACTAAAAATTGGACATGTAAGGTCCAAGTTGTTGATAAAAGTCGACCAAGGGACAACAAAGATAAAACCACAAAATACCAACTCTTAATTCTACAAGATGAAGAGGTATTTTATTTTTATTATTAATATATTATTGATTTTAAAAGCCTGACAAGATGAAGAGGTATTTATTTTTATTATTAATATATTATTGATTTTAAAAGCCTAACTTTAATTGAGTTAACCAAATAATCCATCATTTTATATTTTTACTTTAATAATATGAAAAATAATAAGATAACTTTTAAATTTTACACAACTAATCAAACTTTTTACAAATTCTTTTACAGGAGAATCAAGTTCAGGCCACTATTTTCAGTATTGATATAACATATTTTGAAAAAGAATTTGCTCCTTTCAAGACTTACTTGGTATCTATTGCATTTGTGAAAGAACCACTTCTTGGATATGAAAATCCACTTAACAAATTCATTTGGACACTCGATAAAAACACCATTGTTGAACCAGTTGAAGAGGTCAAACCTCCAGAGGATCCATTACCACCACCAACCCGACTAGCTGTTGCCACATTTGACACTTTTGAGTATCAACCCAAAGAATTTGAATTTGGTATTTATAAACAAATAAGAATGGAAGTTTGTCGAAACAGAATATTCCTAGGAGTTTCTTTATTGGTTCTTTTTGGTAGACATTATTCTGGTTTATGCTACATCCGTTGGTCTTCTCTACTTTCATGGTTTGAGTTGAAATTTAATTTCAAGTTGCTTTGGATTACCTTTTACATTGATAAACATATATATATACATATATATATATATATATATTTCTATATTGGAGCTTTGTATAATGTATATATGTTGAGGGATGCTACGTTGATTGTATAATTCAGTTTTGTTGTGCATAAAATACAACGAAATCCTTGTTCAACAGTTTTTAAGGGATTTCTTGCATTAATTCTTACCTCGTGGTGCTCTCGTGCATGTGCATGTCCATATACAGATAGACAAAGAACGAAAGGACTATGCAAAAGAAGTTTGGTATTAGGGAAAGATTGGTATTTTCAGTGGGTCTAGCTTTCTTATAACTTTTGTATGAACTACCTTATTACATGATGATGGTTGTACTTTTAGGAGTGTTATTGTTTGTTTTTGCAAAGATTGTCTTTTTCTTCTTCTTTTTGGTTTGTTTGTGCATCTTCCCCTCTCTTTTGTTTAAGTAATGTAATTGAATGCCTTGTCCCTTTGAATCATTCTGAAATAAAGGTTCAATTTTTATAAGGATTGATCTTCTTCCTAATTTCTTCCTGCCCTTTTTATTTTAGATAAATTAACTTCCCAATATTGTGGACATAGTCTGTTAAAGGGGAATATACTGCTTACCCTATTTGATTTATTTCCTCTGCTATGATTTTGTGTTATTTCTTAAAGATCAACATTGAATTTTGATCAACAGCTAATGATATCCAAGTTTATTGAGGTTCCTGGTAGATATTGAGTTCTTGTCATGGTGTATTTCTTTTTCATACCTACTTTGATTTGTTGTACTCGTAGGGATAAGATTTGCGATCACTCTGCCTCCCCTTAACCCACATGTTTGATTTCACTAGGTTGTTGTTTGAGTTTTTCCGTCTTTCCACGAAAATTTCATTTTTTATTTATTAATTAAGCAGTTTTAAACTAAGTTCTCGATAAGTAACTCTTACAAAGTTGGAAAAACCATGTTTGAGGTTTTATATCTTCTCCTTTATTAGTCTCTCATATGTTCATCTGCTTATGATATTGATAATAGTAAGTCGATCACCTTAGAACCAATACCAAAGATGTTTATGTTGCAGTCCATATTGTATGTAGTTGATCAATTTCACTGTCTTATATTCTGACTTTTATAGGACAAAAATGTTGGTATTTTTTTTATAATAATCTAATTTGAATTTTATTATTTATAATATAATGTTTTTACAATATCACATATCTTCTATAATTTTATTTTAATATTTGAAAACATCCTTCAGAGCATATGCAGGAAAAAACCAACAAAACTAACACTTTGGGAGGACTTTATTGATCATGAGGGTGTTAAACTTTTCAATCAACTTCATGATTACCCGATCATTCTTGCTAGGAGAATTGGGAAATCATCCTCAGGTAAAAGTGCAAATAAATTTATTTTTTTCTTTTTTGAAAAATAATATGACATGATGAAACTAAAATCACATATTCAAATGCACGTAGGAACGTCAAATAGATTCGTTGGTTTGACGAGCAAATTCAATACTACAATTGAAATCAATCCTCCATATCCACAGGCTGCTGAGTTAAGGACATGGTAATATACATTTTTATTTAATGCATCAGAATTTCAGAATATTTTAAGATATAAAACACATCTTTAATCTTATTACAATCACAAAGTTTTAAAATTTCACTTTTATTTCTTTGTTGGTTTGACGAGCAAATTCAATACAACAATTGAAATCAATCCTTCATATCCACAGGCTGCCGAATTAAGGACGTGGTAATATATATTTTTATTTAATGCATCGAAATTTCAGAATATTTTGAGATATAAAAAACATCTTTAATCTTACAATCACAAAGTTTTGAAATTTCACTTTTATTTCTTTTATTTTGGATGAGCTAATATTAATAATTTTTTGTATTTTTACTTGTTTATAGGATCAAAACAATTGAAACAAAGCTTGTTGCTTATAAGATGAAAAGTACAACTCTAATAGGCTCTATTATGTTGATTCCATTTGAGGATGAGGTTATATCTGTGGCTAACATCCAAGCAAAACCTCCGGTAAGAACAACAAGTATATTATTCTATTTTTCCATTTTTTTTTATTTTCAGTAAAAAATAATATTAGGTATATTGAATTTGAAGGGACAAGTATTTAATGTTGAGGCTGAATTGTCCCTTCCAAGTAAGGATCAACTCTTTAGTGTGTTAGCATGCTCAAATTGTAAGCAATTGTTCACAAGATATAATGTGTGAAGGGAAATCTACTGCACAAGTTGTCACCGATCCACACATCTTATTCCTAGGTATATTTGCTCTTCTACAAAATTAATAATAACTAATTAAGATTATTTATTTTGTTTGTTCAAAGAAATACATGTCTTACCTAACCATTATTTTTAAATTTTTTCATTAATTATCAAAACAGATGTCAATTTGAAGTTACTATTAAGGACAACAACGGTTTTGCAACAGCTATTGTTTCGGATGAAATTGCAGAGAAATTGTTGCACCTCACTTCAGAAGAAATTTATGAAATTTTCTTCGTCAAGGTACATATTACTTTTTTCGCACCAACTAATCACAAAGAACTTGTTGTGATTTTGTATTTTCATTGTTTCTTATTTCTTCTCTTCAACACAAGCTTGTAACAATTAAGGGAATGTACGATGAGAATGTTCTAACTCACTACTGTCTAAATGATTAGCACAAAAGCATGTTCAAAATTGAAATTTTTTCTTTTACCATCTTAATAAACTCGGTATGTCCTTTATAACAAGTGCTCTAGCAGGAGAGTCGCAATATACTGATGTGTTTGATGATACATTTCTGAAATCTTACTGCTCTCATTGACAAATAAGGATTGTAATAGTTGAGCACTTATGAAGTTATGGTAGTATATAATCGATTTATGATGATACACCAACCTCAAAGATATTTTTGAAAAGGTTAAGTTATAATATAGTAATAGATTTCCTTATGATCAAGTGAACATATGACTTCCTTAACTTGAAAAGGATACTATAGCTTTATAGGCTTAGAACTCTAGCATAAGAGAATTTCTAATAAAGATTTATTTTTTTATGTATCATATAAGTTGTCATGACCTTTATAGTTGAAGAACTTGAGCTCACAACTTTCAAACAATATCTCGTGAGTTCCTTATCAAATAACATAGAATGTTGTAGATAATAAGGGAATGGAAACTTACCTTCAATAGACAAATATCTCATGAATTAATTATTAATTACTTATTCTAAGATTACAAATCATATATTTATATTTCTATCTTATTATTTTATTTTATTATATATATATATATTTTTTTTTTTTTTATTATTTTTTTTATATAGAAATGTGAAGCCTTGGACGACCAAGGGCAATCACTTTCTTTAATTCTGTCAAAAATATACTATCTAACTTCTAAGAGTTTCAAATGAATGTATATATGATCATGTGAACATATGGGTTAATTTCAAAATTCATGATCCTTGCATATGCTATTGTTGTTGATCTTCTTTAATGGTAAAATTATCCAATCTCTTTCTATTTGTCTGTTCGCTTTATTTTCTAATTATTATATATATAAAATATAAAATATTAATGATTTTGTTATTATTAATCAAATTTTTTCATTTTTCAGAAAGAAACATTATTGCTCCAAAATGTGGAAGATCAATTGAACGGCAAGATATTCAACATTCAAATGAAAAGGCTATTCACAAAAAAATTGGATGCAATGCAAAAATTATCCATTTTGTCTTACCTGGAGAAACAAGATGTGATTCATAAACCAATGACATCTACGACAGTCAATGTTACAGATGCAAAAAAAGCGCACAATTGAACATCTTAGTTCAGGGAAAAAAGAATATCCAAGCATGGCAAACAAATATAATCCTTCCACCCACAAACATAGCATGGAAATGAAAAATCATCCCATGAAAAAGAATTAAAAGGTATTTGAATTATTTTGTACATTTTTTAAAACTTCATCTTTGCAATTGACTAATATAAATGGGATTGTATTTATTTTCTTTGACTTCGATTCAGTCTCTAGACACATTTTCTTTTATTGTTTTGAATTGCAGTTGGAACACTTTTTGTTGTGGTTCTTGAAGTGATTTTTTTGGAACTCTGTTGTTGCTGCCACTGGATGTTGTGTTTTGCAAGCTTTTGATGTTGCTATGTGGATGTCTTATGCCCTGTTCTTTTGTAGAAATTGAAAATATGTTCTCCTCTGGTAACAGGTTAGTTAAAAGTTATCTTTTTACAAGTACTCCATTTATCAACTTAAATGAAAATATATTCTTTTTGGTGTTATGATTATTATTATCGCTGAAAACTATTATGTTCATTTTTAGTTCCTAAAATATGATGTAACTTTCCTCTATTGATCTTGTTGAAATAACCACCTTAAACTGATAGAATCAAAAACTACAAACAAAATAACAGTTAGTAATTAAAAACTTGTGAAATCAAACCTATTTGGTAGAATTGTTTGCCTATTTTGATTTATATGACTATTAGACCAATCTCTTACAGTGATTTTCTCCTTTAGTTGATTTGTTTGAGTTTTCCTTATGGCTTACATTGATCATAGGAGAAAACTTTCGATTCTTCCTTTAAAGAGTCAAAATCAAGCGCTAGCTCAAAACTGTGCCTTTCTCAACTTCAGCCAATCAGTGTCTGTTGTATCTCCACCAATTTTTATAAATTTTTGTGACCCATATACTTTTGCCAACTTATCCTACACAAGTCAAATAATAAGCATATATGTGGCTGACAGCTTAAAATTAAGGAAGTCAAATTTATCAATGTTTAAATTTGCTCTTCATGTTAGTTACTGTTGCGGCTTGTATATATCAATGCAGTATGACATCTCTTTCGAGTAATGGTAATTAAAGCAACCACTTAAATAAATCTTTTTCCATCAATGAAGCTTCCCTTACAATTGTTTAGTATATTAAACTCTCATATTTTATACTCATTATTCATCCATATGTAAAAGCTATAACTTTCACATTTTTCTCTATGATATTTTAAGTTTCCAAGTTCCATTTATTGTGATCGCATTGCACTATGTGTAATTAGACAAGTTCTTATTGAAAACATTTAGTTGTGGCTTAGTTGGTTAGTTTCCTTCAATATCAACTCTTCTTACAATTTTATTATTGTGCATGTATGTAATATTGTCAAAATGAAAAAAAGGCTTACTATTGACACAATCACACCACTAACTAAACAGTGAACGTGCAAAATAATGTTTTTCCTTGTAAGTTTTGTTACTACGAACGCCTAAAGAAGAAACTCTTATTTTTAACATTTATTGTTCTAAAAAGGTGTGTGCACTTTTTGTTATATGTGTTGCTTTATGAAAATGTAGAGATGTGTGTTGCTTTTCAAAACCACCTTAAACAAGGAAATGAAGAAAGCAAAAGGCTTTGAAAAAGAAATTTTCAATTAATCTTGATATTATAATCCATGAAACTTTTACAATGTATTGGCTAGTAAAAGTTAGAATCTCTTTTCCCTGTGATAGTTCCATGCCTTGGTCTCTTCAAAAGAAAACAAAACATTTCTCATGCTACTAGAAAGGACTTCATGCATGGTAGGGCATATTGGAGTGGTGTTGATCAGTCATTAAGAAGTAAAAACGATAGTTTTGTTGAATTCGTAGTTCTTGGTGGCCTCACTGTTTTATTTTTACAAGTAAGCAATGTGTCATTTACTTTCAAGTTACGTTCAATAAAAATCATCTTTACGTAAATTATCATTGTTTCTATTGTCAGCTTATCTACTACAAAATGGATAACAACAACATTTCTTATGTTGTTGTTGGGAAGGAAAGAATATGTGAGTTTGTTGAGAGTTAAATGTCTTGGCCATGTGGTTTATAATGCTTCTGTTATTACCGTTACATTGTTTGCTGTTGTTTTTATTGCCTATATTGTCAGAGTTAGATTAAATTATTTATAAATCCTAGACTTGCTAACAGATATATCATGTGTTGTATAAACTATGTGATTCTGTGCTGACATTTAATCCCTCAATTTTAATGTAACAGGTGATTTTGATTTTAAAAAAATGGTCCAGAAGATCCAAGCATGAAAGATGCATCTACTTTTGTCTAATTTAAAATAGTACGTAAATGTATGTAATTAGCACTCCCACATATGAAAATATTAAAACTATGTAAATATCTCACTTTAACATTCACTAGTATGACATTCACATGAATATATAATGAACAAATTTGGCAGCTATAATGTGTTTAAATTAGTAATTTTTCTCATTGAAATATATTTTAGATCCATTATAAATTATACATTGGGACTGTGTTGTTGTTCCTGCCACTACTTTTCTGGAATGTACAGGGAAAGTAGCCACAATGTTTTCTGCCTAACATGTATTCGTATGAGCATAGCATGGCAAATATTAACAATTGAAGAGTATTTAGAAGACACATGTCTGCAGTAAAGTTGTTTCTGTAATGGGAGAAATTAGTTATATAATTACACTTTGAAGTTCATGTGTTTTAAGTCTATTAGATCTGACATTTGTAAAAGATACATATGGTTGTAAAGCAGCATAACCAATGCAATGATCTGTTAACTTTTACACTATATACTCTTATTATGTCATTTAACAACATGAGCCATTTATTTCAATTTTATGTCTCAATTCCCAGGCTGATGTCTTTATTCTTCTCTCAGAAGTCCCTTTTTGCCATTTATAACATGTAAATGTCCTGTGAAAAAAGTGTATTTAAGCAGCTTGTTCTTTCGCTTTCATTTCTAGACTCCCCTCGAAAATTTGGAACTTGTTCTAATAGTTTTTTAGTTTTCTTGTTTTTTTTCTTCTTTCTAAACTCTACATTTTTTATTTTATCATACCTATTCTGCCTGTGTAAAATTAATTATAGAAAGATGTTTCTATTTTAAAAAAATTATTCATTTTATTTTTAAAGAATAACGACAAACTGTGCTTTACAAGTAGATTTTCTGTCGTGCATTCAATATCTATGTAATAATAATCGATTGCCTTCTTATTATGTATCTATTGATAAACTTTGAATAAGGATACTAAATTGTGAATGTTTGCCCAACTTAATATTGAACTAATTGTTGAAACTTGAAAGAAAAATAATAGTGCCTCTCGCTTGTATCTTATTACATGTGGATTCTTTTATCGTGCAGATTAAGAAATGTAATTCGTTACTAAAATTATAGATATTGTATTTTTTGAAATTACAGTTATTTCAAAATATTTTTTACCATGTTTGATTTCAAATACATTTCATAGTAAATCAAACAGAAGTAAAATTATGATAAAATTTTAAACGTTGAGCCCGTGCTTAGCACGGACAACACTCATCTAGTATTAATAAAATAATAAATCCAACCCTGTGCCCAAAGTCACCTGAATATAGGTGACTAATTAGGCAAAATGTTAACTAGATTAGAAATTGTATGTATATTTTTTTTTATTTTTTTTTTAAAAAATTGTATGTATATTACCAGATGGACCACGTGTTTCCTCATATATATCTTCTTCTTTTTTTCAAAAAATAAACTAAAATTGAGATTAGGCGAGAAAAATTTAAGATGAGAAATTGAACTCTTTCACACGATAACCAAGTTAAGATAGTAAACTGAACATATTCTAAACAAATAAACATACCCATTATTTTATATATATATAATACACGTAATTATTTCACATCTCAATAAGTTTACTTTCAAAAACAAGTTCTACTTCCAAAAAAAGAAAACTTCATCAATGGAAGAAGGAAAGTCGAGAAGTTATAAAAAAAAAAAAAACTTCATCAATGGAAGAAGGAAAGTCGAGAAAGCTAGGTGGTTCTCTGAAAGTCCCTAACGTTCAAGAACTTGCAAAGCAACAACTAGCAGCCGTTCCACCGCGATATATACGTGATGATATTGAAAATCAATCATATTCTTCCATAGTAATATTGCCTCAAGTTCCAGTTATTGATATGAAAAAATTGCTGGAAATTGGAGATATTGATGATGATTCGGAGCTCGAGAGGCTTCATCTTGCTTGCAAAGAATGGGGATTTTTCCAGGTTTATATATCAAACACTGTTCATTTTTTATTTTATGTTACAGAAATGTTGGAGTTGCTTTATTTCGCCGTCAATAATATAACCACTTGCACCCGAAAACATTACTCTTATTAAATATAATAACTAGTGACATTCTTTTTGACCCGTTTCTGTTGAAACTACCCTAGCTAGGAAGAAACAAAATTTAACAATTTTTTTATAATCATTTCGTGTCCCATCTATTATTGTGTCGATCATATCTTTTAATTTAAAAATAAATTGATGTACCTTCGTGTCCCATGATGATATTGATTTTTTAAAAATACATGTGCAGTTGGTGAATCATGGAGTGAATTCATCATTGATGAAGAAAGTAAAATCGGAAATCAAAGCATTTTTCGATCTACCAATGGAAGAGAAGAAGAAATTTGAGCAAGAAGAAGGAGATCTCGAAGGATACGGGCAAGCTTTTGTTGTATCTGAAGAACAAAAGTTAGATTGGGCTGATATACTTTACATGATCACTCTCCCTACTCAGTTGAGAAAACCTCACTTGTTTCCAAAGCTTCCCGTCTCACTCAGGTAGGATAATATATAACTGAGTTTACGATTAAATATTTAGTGAATCTTTTTTCTACCTTATGCATACAATATGTAAATTCAAGGGATGAGTTGGAACAATACTCAACAGCACTGAAGGAACTTGCTATGAAAATTCTGTACGTAATGGCAAGAGCTTTAGGGATGAAAGCAGAGGATATGAATGTACTATTTGAACAAGACGGGACACAAATGATGAGAATAAATTATTATCCTCCTTGTCCTCAACCAGAGCGCGTAATGGGGTTATGCCATCACACTGATTCTGTTGGTTTAACCATACTCCTTCAGGTTAATGAAACTGAAGGTCTTCAAATTAAGAAAGATGGTGCTTGGATTCCGGTTCCATATTGTCCTGATGCCTTTGTTGTTAACATTGGAGACATTTTAGAGGTGAGAAATAAGTGTGTTTGGTATGACAGAAGTTAATTTGTGGGTCGGGAAATATAAAGCTCTGTCAATTTTGTTTTTGCAGATTGTGACAAATAGAATTTACAAGAGCATTGAACATCGAGCCATCGTTAATAAGGACAAGGAGAGGATCTCCATTGCTACATTTCTGAGCCCCAAATTGAATGGAGATTTAGGTCCAGCAGCTAGCCTCCTCACTCCCCAATCCCCTGCAAAATATAGGAGGATTGGAGTGGCAGATTATTTTAAAGGATTTTTTTCTCGAGAGCTCGTTGGAAAATCATACATAGATACTCTAAGGATTGGAGATGGAGATCATGGGAGCAATTGATCAATGTTGCATTTGGATACCAACAGCTTGTTTAATAATTTGGATGGATTTTTTTTAAGAATATAATATTTGAATAAATTGTGTCGTCTATTGTGATTAATAATATCCTCGTTGTCTGATTTTAATGTATCTTATCATATAATGACCAAGAATTTTATGGAAATGTCCTCAATATTAGAGGTGCAAATCGCAAATCACTCTATATAACATGTTTTTAGGATTTTGATTACTCCGTTTGTTTCAATTTAATTATGGAAGAAGTAGAAGTTAATTGATATGAAAAGATTGATCAACTCTAATGATTATGCTCCATGAGGAGTGTCATATTATGATTAATAAATATTTAATATATTAGATATTTTGTATTAATATTTAATTTAGTGTAGGAATAAAATGGTAATCTAACTTTGTATTTGAAGCTTTCCACTTTTAGTAATATATGATATATGATGATATGATGTTTTTTTTATTGAGAATAAAATGTTCTTTTGTTGTAGTATTATATTTGAGGCTACATTTTTTGAGCCCCAAATTGGATGGTGATTTAGGTCCAGCACCTAGTTTTCTCACTCCTCAATGCCCTGCACAATTTTGGAGGATTGGAGTTGCTGATTACAAACATATTCACTATGCATCGTTAGTTTAAAATCAATCATGAATATTATTTACCTTGTTAAACTTCGTGTCAAATCATAACTAAACAATTAAATTAAAACTCAGGAGTATATATGAAAAATAAAATTGATTTTTTTGAAGTACAAACCATCCTAGATTTTTAGTGGAGCTTTCGAAGTTTTTAGTATTTATTATGTCTAAGAAGGGTGTAAATGTTCTAGACAATTCTATTTATAATAAATCATAATATAATCTACATCTTGTAGTATCTAGAACCATCTTACACAACTCCTAAATAGGAGTGAACTTAGTTATTTGTTATCATTCCAAAGAAAACATCTCAAGCCAATTCTAGTGTATATAAAAGCATTGAGCACAGAGCAATTGTAAACTCAATAGTGTTTTATTTGTCTTTGGCAGATAGTAAGCAATGGTGTATATAAAAGCATTGAGCACAGAGCAATTGTAAACTCAAATAAAGAAAGGCTCTCTGCTGCAACATTCTCTATCTTCAACCTTGATTCCGAATTAGGACCTGCACACACAGCCTCATTGGACCGAATAATCCTCCAATTTTCCGAAGAGTTGTCGTGCGAAAATATTTACAGGATTATTTTGCACGAAAACTTGACGGAAAATCATACCTTGATGTCATGAAGTTAGAGGCCGGTAATGGAGAATCCTAGGTAGCATTTGATATATAAGTTACTCTTGCCATTGAAATTTGGAGTTCCTCTGTTTGATTACTATAAATAAGAGTACTCTTCATCAATTTCATTTTATGTGACGGTTTTTTATTTATTATGGAGTTAGCTAGCTAACCTCTAATTAATATTTCAACTTCTATGTAGGAACAGAATAATTAGTGTTTGAAAATGCCCACTAACTACTTTTGCTAATAGCTAATTTCATATTAGCTAACTATTTTTAAATTAATAAAAATTAAATAATTAGACTATAATAATAAATAATTAAGAAAAAATACTGTTAGTCACAAGTTTATTTTTTATGCTTCTAGTATGTTGTACTCATCCATGTTCTTCAGGATGCTAATGATGTGAACTCGGAAGTTTCTGAGAGGAAAACCAGTAAGTTTTAACAATTGAATAGCGTAGAATATTTAATTAGAGAGCAAATTTTTAATTGAAATAAAACTATATTAAAGATGATAAAAGGGAACCTGAGATATAAATTGTACAAAAAGTTGGATGAAAGGGATAATATATAAAAAACGGAAACTATGTAATACCTAAATTGAAACAGAATTAGATGTTGATTTTTGATAGTTTCAGCATTGCAGCATCTTCATCGAATTCGGAATTTCCTAATTGTGAAGATGGCGACAGAGTCAACAGTCAAATAGAGTTGCTGAACAGCTCCGGCGGCTATGTAAATATGGTACCGGACGATTATACAATGACAAAATGTATCTATCGCCACATATATAAAAATTAAAAATTTCCACTACTATGCTTTTGGAAGACATTGATTAAACCCAAACCCAAATTAAGAGTAATTTTTCAAGTTTGCAACAAGAGCAAATGGAGTCAACGCCGGAAAAATTGAACTTCGGAAATTCTCTGTTAGTATCAAGTGTTCAAGAGCTTGCCAAACAGCACCTAACCAATACTCCGTCCAGGTATGTCCGCCCACAACAAGAATCTCCGGTCATATCTTCCGGAGCATCAGTTCCTGTTATCATTCTTCAAAAGTTGATTTCAGGGGATTCCATGGATTCTGAGCTGCAAAAGCTTCACTCTGCTTGACAACAATGGGGTTTCCTACAGGTTTCATTTTCTTTGTAATTTTGTTTATTTATTCCGGTGTGTTTGTTACAAATGCATTTTATTTGCATTGAAAATGATTATTAATTGACTGACTGTTTAAGAAATTAACTCACATATTGTTGAATGTTAGGTTATAAACCATGGAGTGACACCTTCGATCCTGGAGGATTTCAAGAGAGAGGTTATTGATTTGTTCAAACTTCCAATGGAAGAAAAGAAGAAACTATGGCAACAGAAAGATAGCTTTGAAGGTTTCGGGCATATGTTTGTTGTATCGGAGAAGCAGAAGCTTGATTGGAGTGACATGTTTGGCATAATAACTCTTTCTCCTCATATCCGCAAAGTGAACTTGTTTCAGAAGTTGCCCTCGAAGCTCAGGTGCTCATCTTCATACTCTCTCCCAGGACATGCTTATTGTAACAAACCCAATAACAAGGCCAACACAATTCAAATTCAAACAACTGACAAATCTATTTCACTAGCTCGTAATTGGAATTACAAAGGAATTTAAGAACCAAATGGAAATTAAAGAACACCAGTAGAAGGATGGGATGAGAAGCAGAGACTCAAAGAAAGGGGATGAGAGGACTAGACATTTTTCTCAATAATTTGCATAATCCCTAACTCACATATCACTACCCTTTTTTATGGAACCGTTTCATGCCCACTACTCAACCCGGATTCCAAATTAACCTGGCCCTATTGCTCGTTCTCGGCCCAATAGCTCTTGTCAGCCCAATAACAACTTGTATGACATTAGTATCTACATTGGGCTGGACTCGGTTGATAACACTTACACAATCCCCTTACTCGATTGAGTGACAGTTTGAGAAATTAGCTTGTATATTGTTGAATGATAGGTTATAAACCATGGAGTGACATCTTCGATCCTGGAGGATTTCAAGAGAGAGGTTCTTGATTTGTTCAAACTTCCAATGGAAGAAAAGAAGAAACTACGGCAACAAGAAGACAGCTTTGAAGGTTTTGGGAATTCATTCGTTGTATCGGAGGAGCAGAAACTTGATTGGAATGACATGTTTGGCATAATGACTCTTCCTCTTCGTATCCGGAAAGTGGACTTGTTTCAGAAGTTGCCCTCGAATCTCAGGTGCCTGTCTCCTTTCTCTATTACTTTATTCCAGAGTTAATTACTTCAAGAGTTAAAAAGTGTCAAAATCACATCCAATTTCTTGAACTTCATATTTAGACTATTGAGAGTGTGAGTTTCAGGGGCATTATAGAAGCATACTCGAATGAAATCAAGAGCCTAGCAATGATCATCGTATGTCAATTGGCAAAGGCTTTAAGGATAGATGAAAATGAAATGAGAGAGCTATTCAGTGATGGTGTGCAGTCAATAAGGATGAATTATTATCCACCTTGCCCTGAGCCACACAAAACCATTGGCTTTAGCCCTCATTCTGATGCTGATGCCCTCACCATCCTTTTCCAGCTCGATGAAACTGAAGGTCTCCAAGTTCGAAAAGACGACATTTGGGTGCCTATAAAGCCCCTCCCAAATGCTTTGATTGTCAATATTGGCGATATGATGGAGGTAAATAACAACTTCTCTTGAAAGGACTTAATGTGGACTAAATATAAAGAAATAGTACTAATCGGTTGTTGACACCTAATTTTGACCCTCCACGATAAGAATTAGTTTGAGTAAAATGAGGGACAGTTGTTGACACCTAATTTTGACCCTCCATGAAAAAAATTAATTTGCGAGCTTCCTTAATTCCAAACGATTTGAAATAACTAATTTTATAAAAATTCAAAATATGTTTCAAGATGTTTTAAGAATTTTATTCACTTTTATAATATTTTAAATAACAAGTATGTTTTATAGTGTTACGTATGTAACTAATATATTTTATAAATACTTGAAAACTATCTTGAAAAAAAAGATTTCATTATTATTATTATTATTTTAATGTTAAACGCTTTATTAATCTAATTTAGTTTGAATTATAGCTATGTTGTTGAATTAGTTATTTTTATTCCGTTAAGATTAAGAAGCTCGCAAATTAATTTTTTATTGATTCGCCTTATTTAGTTTTTTTGGCCGAATTACCAACTAACCTCATTCCGGTTAAAAATGTTGATTCAATTTGGTTATGTTTGAATTAATTGCAAGACCGAGAGTGTGGGCCATTTTCGAGCATCCCACTTCAATACATCAGCAGCAATATGCCAACAATATTAATATTTTCCCAAAGCCAATTCCTTTTTCCAAGGGCAAACCACATAAATCCCACTAGTTTAGGTCTTAATTATTAAGATTCCCAATAGTTTCAAATATTACTTCATGTACCATATTTTATGCTTACGATACATGAGTCTGAATCCATGAGATACATGTATCTGCCGAATTTTAAAATTGAGATATAAAATTTATTTATTTAAATTAATTGTTTGGAACTAATTTCCTTAATTAGAGGAGTAATTGAGGATTTTCAAAATAAATAGATAATTAATTTCATTTTATTATTCTTTAAAATAGTAAATTCATTAATATTATTAATATAAGATAAAAACATGTATATCTTGGTAATGCAATTTGATTAATTTCAAATTATTACTCTTAAAATAATAAATTCATTAATTT